AAAAAAAAAAAAAAAAAAAAAAGAAAGAGAAGCCATGAGAAGAAGAGTCACAGAGCTTATTCGTCTCTCTATTTCCCTGCACTCACCAATAAAGCACAATAACCCTTTATCAAAGTCAGCACCACCCTCTTCTTTCTTTCAAACTTGTACTACTTTCTCAACCTCCATAACCCCTCCTCCTATCGAAGAACCCAACACCTCACCATCAAAGTCTCAAAGGGACTCACTCATTTTGGAACGGTTCAAGCAAAGGAAACTCAAAGGGTCTTCAAAAGACTCAAAGGGTGCCCCCCAAGGGTGTTCATCTTCAGTGCCGTCAAGTTCGGATTTTGATGCCGGGAAAGTGGTTCAAAGGGGTTTGCAGAATGAGAATGACCCCACCATGGTGGTGGCAAGTTTGAAGGAGTTGGGTGTGAGTGAGGAGCTTGTTGAGGTCATGGAGGGGATTGGGGAGTTTGTTCCTAGTGAGATACAGTGTGTGGTTGTTCCTGCTGTTTTGGAAGGGAAGAGTGTGTTGTTGAGTGCACCATCTGAACCTGACAGAACCTTGGCCTTCTTGTTGCCCCTTATTCAGGTTTGTTCAATTATTCTCCTTTTCCTTCCAAGGTTTTGACTTTTGAGTCTTAGCAACAACTTACTTTAGATGGGTGGATACAAGACATAGGAATTTGGGAATGCAGGCTGGCTTTAAATTTTGTTGTTTGTTTATTTTTGTTTGTTATTTATTTGGTATTTCACTTAGTGTGTTTGGATAAACTTCTTAGGAAGCATTTCTTGTCTTGCTGAGAAAATTAGGGAAAAAAGAAATAAGCTTCTTAAATTAAAATAAGCTAAATTTTAGCGTATACATAAGCTAATTTAGAGAAGCTATTAACTACTAAAAAATCATATTTTAACTAGTGCAGAAGCTAAGTTTTAGTTTAGGGAGAAGCTAATTTCATTTTTCTTTCCTATTTTTTTCCCTTATGGAGAAGTTTATCCAAATATGTTCTTAGTGGATAAGGCTATTGTTGTTGTGTTATTTATTTGGGTTTGACATGGGTTTCAGTTTGATAGAAAAGCTCGGAATTTTATTACTTAGAAGGTGATGTCAGGTGAAAATGGTTTTGTTAACTATAACTAGTGTCATAACATCACATGGAAGGTTTCTCTACATTTTTCAGCGCCATATCCCAAATTTGTTCTGCTTCTTGTTGGTTTGATGTATTGGGACTCTGTTATATAGCATCGTTTGTTAACATTGGTATTCTACTAAGAGAAAACAAATTTCCATTTTCCAAAGTCACATATTATTATCAAATTAGTGATTTTTCTTAGAATCATTGTATTCAATTAAATTATAAAATATCTCTATTCTCAAGTGTCTCTTGTAGAACTTGCAGAAGTCATAACAAAATAGCCATACTGGAAGGTGCAGCTGGATCATCTTTTCACAGTGTAATGCTTGTTTTGTAGTTTAGTTTCACACTCCATACTCAAAAGGAAGCTCCAAACTTAATGCATATTTTAGTATCACACTCGATCAATGGTTTAGTTTCACATATCTAAAATTTTACTTCCATTATTTTAGTTTCACACTTGTTCATCAATGCATATTGGAGATGGAAGTCTTATTTTAGATATGCATCGATGATATCTATACAAATGGTTATTAATACCTTATGTATATATTAGATGATCAAGTACCCCGTGAGAGGATATATAGGAATATAAATATGCCAAATCACTCATGTTATGATCTTCTACATCCTACATCTTTCTGTTCCTTCATCTGGCTGTTGTTCTTCATGTAACATTCAAACCTAATGACTCCATGAAATTACATCTCTACTTCCACATGGTACGGGTAACATAGGAGACATCTCTATTGTTCCCAAGGTAATCTGTTAGATACACCTTGTTGGTGTTGAACTTAAAATTAGTGTTACTATCTCTATTACATGAGATTTTAACCTCACATGACTCCTTTAAAATTGATAAATGGATGGGATGCAAATTTGGGAGGAAAGATTAGGGGTAAAAGTCATTACGTTGTTTGGAAAGTAAGAACTAAGAAGATTATGGAATGGATCAAAATCTAGAAAACTATTGCACCTTGGTTGTCCTAATATCATTTTCTCTGAAACCGAGTGAAGGTGAGAATAAAATTAGAAAATAAGGTTGATTATTTTAGTATTGATAAAGTTAGTGATATACTTATTTATCCTACTTTCATCACCTGCACTAGCGATGAAAACTGTTATGTTATCAACTTCTACAGTTCTGTTTCTTCTTTCTTCATTATTTCGTAAGGAAAAAAGGATTGAATCTGTCAACTTGTGCAGCTGCTAAGACGGGACAGAGAGTTACTTGGTTCAAATTCAAAGCATCCGCAGGCCATTGTCCTTTGTGCTACAGAGGAGAAAGCTGCACAGGTGACCCAATCCCCACTATGTACCATAATCATATTCGTTAGTGCTTAGTGTATGCACCTGGAATTTATGAATTTATTTTGTCCCTTGCAATTTTTTTTTGACATTGCAGTGCTTCAATGCTGCAAAATATATCATCGATAAAGCAGAATTGAAGTCTTTAAAGGATGGTGCTTCACCAAATAACGGGAATGCTTCAATTGGCCTCTTGATTGGAACTCCTTGTGAGATTCTTCAATACATTGAAGAGGGGAGTGTTGTTCCTGCTG